ATTCTAATAATATCTAAGGATTCTCATTATAAACTCTGTGATTCTCATGTTCAGTGTGTGACCAGTGTTATTAGTCATTCATTTGGGAGAAGGACATTGATATATATTAACAACATTGCTCTAGTTATCAAAGAAAATAATTGCAATACATGCTCTTAGAATGCAACATGGTTGTGCAATTTCATTTTACCAAGATAGTTTTAAAAGCTATCCGATATTAAATTCTGCTAATATCTCTACCCTTTCCTCTGATGTGGTGTGACTCATTCAGATTTGGACCTGAAGTGCAGTATAGTGTTTACCCAATTTGATCTGGAGAAAGGGTAGGGAAAATTAACCTCCTGGCCCGGCTCACCATAAGGCAGAGTGAGGTAAATGTCTTCAGTGGCAGACAGTCGAGTCTGCTAAACTCATAAATTGCATATGTTTACTGTAACAATACAATCTAAACATCCAATGGAATAATAAAACCATTTGGTTTTATTATTCCACTGGATGTTTAGATTGTATTGTTACAGTAAACATTTGCAATTTATAAGTTTAGCACATTTTTGCATTATTGTTAAATAAGTATTCACAAATACCAGACTTTCTTGCCTAGTCTTTCCTGTCATTTGGTTTAGAGATCTTCTGTGTGTAAGGATACATTGCCCTATATTTCCTGCAAGGAGACAGTCCCCATCACTAGTTCCCCATCCCTTTTGAACACAGTAATATATATGCCATGTGACCTGTCTAGAAGTTCTTAAACTAGCCTGGTGCCCTCAAGTACAATGAAGGATGTTTTCCCATGACCAATGTACAAGTAAAATCTTAACTTTTTATTATTCATCAAATCAAAGGGATTTACTGTATGAGCAACCATTTTTCTGCCTGCTCTTTAAAAGAAGGAAAAAGTATTCTATAACTGGCTTTATAAATTACAAATAGAATAAGAAGTTTTGCTGCTTGGCAGTAGAGCACCTAGTTTGCTCACGCATGGTCCCAGGTTCAATCCTCTGAATCCTCCAGTTAGATATAGCTATGAAAGGCCTTCCTTGTCATAGGTGTTATTGGACAAGATTGGGATGGGCAACTGTGAAAAGCCAGGTAGACATATTAGCTCTTTGGGAGACACTGGAGGGATGCAGTTCCCACTTCATCTATTCTGCAATCAATATATGTATATGTGTGTGTCTCTGTGTCTCTGTGTTAGTGTGTATGACCCCCAAATACCCTCCAAAATACCTTCTAGAAGTCATGGGAGGCATTTCTGCCATGTTTTTACTGCCCCTTCTTGTTTTTGTCTTGTTTTCTAGAAAAGGCTTCTTCTGGACCTAACATAGCATGGGCATTCCTTTGGGGCCAGGCATGGTAGAAAGAGATTATCCCTGTGGCCCTCTGAGAACTATATGTGACCTGCAGGTGTCCACCCATAAGCTAGATGGACTAAAGACTAGTTGTGCATAGAATGCCCCAAGCTGTTTCTATTTTTCACAGAATTCAGAGTTTGGGCATATTTATTATAGCACTATTCAATCAGTTTCCAGTGCTTTTCCTCTTTCATCCCTGCAAGAGCACAAGGGGGAGAACAGGGACAGTCTCATTGGAGACACCCCAACTGTCTATCTCCACAGCTTTTTCTAGAGCTTTCTCTGCACAGTAAGGGACTTTTGCAGTAGGCTCATGTAGGCTCACCACTCTGATATGCCAGTTCCATAGAGAAGTATTTTTCCTGCAGAAGTTCAGCTCTGTGAATACATGAAAAAGAGAGACTGAAAGAGCACTGACAGGGATGATAGGAGAAAAGAGGGAGGCCAACAGTTTTTCCTCTCTCTCTCCTGCTATGGAAATTGGACAGAGAGTACGATTCCACAGGACTTTTGTCCCTCTCTGCACTGGAGTTCCTTCAAAGCAGTCTCTTTCTAGTCCAGTATTGTCAACTCTGACTGGCAGCAAAGGTTCTCCAGGGTTTCTGGCAGAATTCTTTTCTAGTTCAACCTGAATATCCCTGGCAGTCCCTGGTATCCCCTGCTAAGCTTCATTCAGAGATGGTTTTGCCAGTTCTTTCCTCTACACCAGGGGTAGGCAACCTTTCCCCTTTAAGGGCCGAGGGACTTCAGCTCTCAGAAGCCTCAGCCATGTTGGCCAATAGTCCCATGTTGGGCCAATAGCTCCTGGGATTCTGGGAGCTGAAGTCCCTCGGCCCTTAAAGGGGAAAGGTTGCCTACCCCTGCTCTACGCTATCCAGCAACCTGACTTGAGTGCAGTGTGTATGTGTGTGTGTATGTGAGACAGTATATGTGTACATACCTTCAAGTTGCCTGTTGACTACCCCATGAATTTCATAAGGTTTTCTGAGGCAAGGAATACTCAGAGGTGGTTTTGCCATCACCTTCCCTTGAAGTGTAGCCCTCAGCATCTGGTAATCCTTGGCAGTCTCCCATCTAAGTAGCAATCAGGCTTCAGCCTGCTTAGTTTCCAGGATCTCCTAGGCAAAAGTGGAATGGCTTGCAGCCTTAATCTTTTGGTGTGTGTTTTCCCTTCTACCATTCCTGGCCCCAAAGGTGAAACTCTGGTAACATATCCAAAGAATGCTGTGCAAATATCCTATTCAATGTGCTATCATACCAAGTCCATTAAGACCAATGTGTGATTGAGGACTCTCAGCATATTTTGCTATTCGGCATTAATTGAACAGCATCCTCATCCTGCATGCTAATAGCTCCATTTTCATGGAGAAGAGAGTCAACGAAGCAAAATAAAAGCTAGTCAGCTAGCTCAAGCCTGCCTAGCAGGGCTATTTAAAGGATTCTGACCATTAGCCAGCACCTCAGCACTCTCTCTCTCTCTCTCTCTCT